GCCGAGTCCTACACAGGCGGTGCTGGACGTTCAAGCCTAGTTGAATCTTACTTCCTAATAGTACTGCTACTGGTCTTTTCGTTTCTTCATTTCTTCGTCGCACCGTTTGTCAAAAAGACGCAAGAGCCGGAGCCGGCACGGCACGGCCCGACTCGGCTAACGAACTTCGGCATCTCCCTCTCGAAAAAATTTGTCGAGACCCAGGTCCCATGACCATGGTCATGGAGGAGATGGTGCATATGGACCGGGATAAGGATAAGCGAGGTTTGGCCCCTGCGCACTAAAGATGCAGTCTCACACATGATGCGACATCCAAGACCCAGAAAAAAAACCAAAATAATATAGACAAAAAAGTTGGGGACAAGTACGAAAGTCTTCTTGACTCAACCGTCCCACCGCGTTCCTGACGCGTTTCGCACTCCATGCCGAAATATGACCCCAATTTTTCTTTTCTGAATTCCACACCAAATCACGCACCCCCATCCGCGGGTTCCCGGTTGAATCTTGCTTCCTAATAGTACTGCTACTGGTCTTTTTATTTCTTCATTTCTTCGTCGCACCGTTTGTCAAAAAGACGCAAGAGCCGGAGCCGGAGCCGGTACGGCCCGACTCGGCTGACGAACTTCGGCATCTCCCTCTCGAAAAAATTTGTCGAGACCCATCCGTACTTATCCATGCTGGTGCCTTTTGTAGTCAATCGTTCCCATGACCATGGTCATGGAGGAGATGGCGCGTGGACCAAGATAACGAGGTTTGGCCCCTGCACACCAAAGATACAGTATCATTCATAAATTATCCGAGACCCAAAAAACACGCGCAAAGAGAAATCTTCGTAGACTCTGATCGTCCCACCCAGAGTAAAAATCCACTTCACGCCATCCGACACGCCGAAAAATCCCCCCAAAATCCCCGAAAAAACACCTCCCCTCCAAAAATATGCACCCCCAAAAAAATTCACCCAAAATCCACACCCAAATCACCCCCCTAATCCGTTCATTCAATCGCGGGTCCCCGGGGTCTCGTGTCTGTCTGTCTGCCTGTCTGTCTGTCTATCTGTTTGTGTCTTAATCTCAGCCACATGTATCCCTATCTCATCAATCAATCAGTTGTTTCATTTCATCGGATTCGGGGCGCGATCGCTGCGCATGGTGCGTTGCATCATGATCACGCGCCTTTGCATGGCATGTATGTACTTTGGATATATTGGGTATATTGGGTATGGATGTACTTGGTCATTTAATGTTTCAATTTGGATGATATATGGTCCGGACTGGGTTGATAGATCACCCATAGATTGGGCATGACCCCTCCCTATCCTTTTAAGGGTTGAGACAAGGGAAAGGCATTAACAACAGCATTTTTTTCGATTTTTTAAATCTTCTTTCTTTGTCTAGGGGATATAGCAGGCAATGAGAGGTGGGTGGGAACCATCAGAGATAGAAGGAGGAAGGAGGAGGGTGTTTCATCATGCTGATTTTGGTTAGATTGACTGCGGATAAGGAGGGGCATGTGGTTGGTGTGCCTGAAAAAAAAATGTGAGAAAAAAAGGGTGAGTTGGTATAAAAGGAGAGGGGAGATGAAGGAGACATGAGACAAGACATGAGTGGGATGTGGGAAGGGGGGGTGAAGAAGGGAAGGAGAGCAAGGAAAGGAAAGGATGAGACAGACAAAAGAGAGGGACATACACTTGCAACCGGAAATCCGCGTTCCAAGCAACGGGGACTTGAAGATTAAGATTGAAGATTGAGGGTGCGGGTGCGAGTACGTAGAACGAAGCCAAAAAAGCAGTTAGCAAGCACGTAGGGAGCTTCGGTCGGGTCGGGTGCGAGACGAGGCGAGGATTTGCGCGATTCGATTCGATTCGGGCCGCTCCCAACCAAGCTTCGTCGAGACGCATCGTGGCCGCCTCGAGGCCTCCCTCGCTCTCATACTCCCATACTCGCTCCCGCGTTCGGGTCGAGTCAGTCGAGCCAAGGCCGTATAATCGATGTCGATAAGAGAGAAGTGGGAAGCGGGAAGCGGGAAGAGAAGAAGAGAGACGGACGGTGGCAGTCAAGAGAAGAGGAAGAGTTTCATGGACAAGTCGACATCTTGACAATGTCCGAGCTAGACCGCATCCGGCTCAAATGTTCTCATCCCCACCGGCTCCGGCTATTGCTGCGTACCCGTCCCGGCCATCCGTTTTAGCGCTCGAAATCACGTCCTCCTCTGCGCGACCCTCTTGGCCCTTGCAAATCATACCAGGCCCGCTCTTTCGCCGCGAAATGCACAAGTCTACCACCCCTGCGGCGTTACCTCCCTCTTCACAATCTTCGCTTTTATTCTGCGGGTTTTAGGTTTTAGAACGCGGTCAAGAGAATCGGAGCCCCGTCCCGCTTCGCGCTTGTTTCCACTATGATGACGCACTGGAATGCAAAGGCTGGATTGGAGGAGGAGCCCCTAAGCCCCGTACCCTAGCGCGTCTCCTGATTCACATGCCAGTGGATCCTTAAAATACCTCCTGTGCCGGGTCGGGTCTGGGTCTGAATACGACTTGAACTTGGACGCTCCTTTAACTCCACGACGACGACGACGCTAGGTGAAGCAAGCGTTCGGTATACACTACACTAGAGACGAAAGCGGACGCAGCTCGGAGACGAACGACTAGGGAGACCGCAAAACCGACACGCACACGAACACGAACTGGATGTCGCGCTCGGGGAACAAACAGCCCGTGGGGTTCGCGACGCATATAACAGCGGGCGGGATTGCGGGCGCGTGTGAGGCGGTGAGTGCGCATGCTGTTTGGCTCGAGGCGTTTCTTCGTTATGCGCGGGCGACCCGCGTGAGGGCGTTTCCTTTCCTTGCGTTTCGTTATGCTGGGCGGGTCGCGTATGTTTGCAGGAGCCTTTCCCTTTGCTCGCATTTGGTTATCTAGAAAAAACGGCGCGTACTGACTATTACCGCGCATTTCTAGCTAGCATGCCAACCGCTCGACACGATCAAAGTGCGGATGCAGCTCTCCAAGTCGGGGCGCACGCCGGGGGTAAGTGCTCTCGCTTTATTTCATCCTACGGAAGCGCTGACGTCCGCCTCCAGACAAAGCCCCGCGGCTTCCTCGCCACCGGCGCCCTCATCGTCCGGCGCGAGACGCCCCTCGCCCTCTACAAAGGCCTCGGCGCCGTCCTCTCCGGCATCGTCCCCAAGATGGCCATCCGCTTCGCCTCGTTCGAGTCCTACAAGACCTGGCTCGCGGACCGCGAGACGGGCAAGACGTCGACGGGGGGCATCTTTTTGGCGGGGCTGGGGGCGGGGACGACGGAGGCGGTGGCGGTTGTTACGCCGATGGAGGTGGTGAAGATTAGGTTGCAGGCGCAGATGCATTCGTTGGCGGATCCGTTGGAGACGCCGAGGTGTGTGTTTTTCTTTCTTTCTCGTGTTTGAAAGAGGGACGGTCTTTAATCTGATGTTGTTTTTGCAACGGGTAGATATCGCAATGCGGGGCACGCGGTGTATAAGATTGTAAGGGAGGAGGGCGTGGGGACGCTGTATCGTGGCGTGAGCTTGACGGCGTTGAGGCAGGCGACGAATCAGGGTACGTCGCGTCAATCTTTTAGTCCTTCTGTTGTTTCGAAAGGCGGGGCGCGTCGATGGCGCGTGTGCACGACGGGACGCGTCCATCACCTGTCTTTGGCGGGACGCGTCTATGTTTGCGCGTGTGCGGATCGTTCTCCAGCCCGCGCCCCTCCCTCTGCCCCTCCCTCTGCCCCTTCCGTCTATCCGTCTATCCATCTACCACTCTCCTCTGGGCCCCTCCCCCGTTTTTCTGGTACTTTGATCTAACCCCTCCCCACAGGTGCAAACTTCACCGCCTACCAAGAACTCAAGAAGCTCGCGCACCGGCTGCAGCCCGCGCTCGAGGGGGCGGAGCTGCCGAGCTACCAGCATATGTTGATTGGGCTGATTAGCGGGGCGATGGGCCCGTTTTCGAATGCGCCGATTGATACGATTAAGACGCGTGAGTGGGGGGTTTTTTTTTTTTGGGTTGGGTTATATACTGATCGAGGCCACCGAGCTTGAGGCTAACGAGTCGTCCTCGAACGAACGAGCCGGTTTCCTTCCTATGATAAATACGAACGCCAACTAACTACGCCTTTTCGCATTTTCGCAGGCCTCCAACGCTCCACCGCAGAGCCCGGCTCGTCGGCGTTCCAGCGCATCGCGAGTATTGCGCGCGCGATGTGGCGTGAGGAGGTGCGTCGTTTCGTTTTATTTCGTTACGTGTTTCTGACTTGCGACTCGTTTTTTTCTCTCTCCCTCGACTCGACTCATTGTGTTGGTTGCTCGCTCCTTTCGACTCGTCTGTTGCTCACCCCTTTCGACTCGTTCGTTCGCTCCTCGCCCTCGCCTTACCTCTCTCCTCCTCGCCTCACTCCTCACCCTACGAACGCAGGGCGTCGCCTCCTTCTACAAAGGCATCACCCCGCGCGTCCTGCGCGTCGCGCCGGGGCAGGCCATCGTCTTTGCGGTCTATGAGCGGGTGCGCGCGGGGATGGAGCGGGTGGGGGAGAGGGTGAGGGAGGATGATGGGTATAGTGAGTAGTGATGGACTGTGTAATGGATTTGGACTTTGTGGGGAATAGGAGGGGAAGGGATGGGGACTTTGTAATGGAACGGGTTGTGAGGAAAAAAAGAAGCAGATGTGAAGCAAGAAGCACGTAGATAGAATGGGTACGGATACGAGCATGGAGATGATAATTTCTTGTTGGTGGATAATTTATTCTGTTCTTATTCGGAATCCGGGCTTGAATATTAGACACCTTTGGGTCGCTTGTGGTGGAGGGGATGTCTGTTTGCGAGACTCGAAGGCGCTAGGGTAAAGCTTAAGGTCTGAGTACTAAGTGCCATCCTGAATTTTGCATTCACACCTTGATTCACAGCGCTGTCAATGTGTTTTTTTTTAAAAAAAAAAAAAGAACAAGACAGAAAACCATAGAAAAAACTCACAGATCGGAATGGCATGACCTGAACCGGATTCGAACCGGGGTTATCTGTTTAAATTTGCGATACATGCTAATTCGAACAGACGCACTAACCAACTATGCTATCAGGCCGTTGCATGGTTTTAATTATTTGACTTTGAGGTGTATGATGGTATAGGATGAAGATTGTGTACATCGACTCGAAATCAAGATCAGAAGGAAAGTCAATAAACTCTGAATCACGCAGGGGCGACGACTTTCTAGGTTCAAGGTTGTCATTTTGTTGAGATTAGTCGGTCGTACGGCAAAAGAAATTGAAAATTTTTAAATTTTTAAAAATTCACAAAAAATTTCAAACGAAGTCAACTACGACCTGACCCGGATTCGAACCAGGACCATCTGTTAAGAGAGCGTTATGGATGCATAACTTCGACAGACACACTAACCAACTGTGCTATCAGGCCGTTGCATGGCTCCAATTATTCGACTTTGAGGTGTATTACAGGATGAAGATTGTGTACATAGACTCGGACTCGAGCTCAAGATCAAAAGGAAAGTCAATACTCTGAGCAAAGTCTGAATCACGGAGGGGCGACGACTTTCTAGGTTCAAAATTGTGTTGAAATTGGTTGGTCGGTCGTACGGCAAAAGAAACTGAAAATTAAAAAAATTTAAAAATTTAAATTGAAACGAACAGAGCTACCGGGGTCATCTGTTAACAAATGTTCCGAAAGGGAGGTAAATTCAACAGATGCACTAACCAATTGTGCTATCAGGTCGTTGCGAAGAAAATTTTGAAAATTCAGGAAAAAAAACTTCCAGAAGCACCATGACCTGACCCGGATTCGAACCGGGATTGTCCATTAACAAATGTTCCGAAAGGGAGGTAAATTCAACAGACACACTAACCAACTGTGCTATCAGGTCATTCCATGGTTTCAATTATTCGACCTTGATGGAGGTGTATTATGGTACACTGCATCGACTCGAGATCAAGATCAGAAGGAAAGTCAATACTGAGCAAAGTCTGAATCACGGAGGGGCAAAGAGGTTCTAGGTTCAAAATTGTGTTGAGATTGGTTGGTCGGTCGTACGGCAAAAGAAATTGAAAAAATTAAAAATTAATTTAAAACATTAAAAAGGTGGAGGAGAATGCGAGCTACGACCTGACCCGGGTTCGAACCAGGGTCATCTGTTAACAGAAGTCGACCGATACGAAAACCAACAGACGCACTAACCAACTGTGCTATCAGGTCGTTGCGAGACTCCAATTATTCGATTTTGAGGTGTATTTATGGTACACTGCATCGACTCGAGCCTGAGATCAAGATCAAAAGGAAAGTCAATACTCTGAGCAAAATCTGAATCAGAAGGGCAATGACGTTCTAGGTTCAAAATTGTGTTGGTCGGTCGTACGGCAACTTGAAGAAAATTTTGAAAACTCAGGAAGAAAAAAGACTTCCGAAACTTGGCATGACCTGACCCGGGTTCGAACCGGGGCCATCTGTTAACAAAGCTTGGGGGATAACTTCAACAGACACACTAACCAACTGTGCTATCAGGTCATTAGATGGTCTGAATTGTTTGTGCTATGGTACCAGGGTGCCTAGTGACAGCGACTCGAGATCAGAATTCGAAGTACTTTGAATCTGAGATCGGTTGGCTGCACAACTGTTGAACACCCGAAAAAAAAAATCAAACAAAACTCCACCACAGCTTTTCAATGACCTGACCTGGGTTCAAACCGGGGGTCTTCTGTTTATACGGCGAAACACGATTGATTAGCAATTTGAACAGATGCACTAGCCAACTGTGCTATCAGGTCGTTGCATGGTTTTAATTGTTCAACTTTGAGGTGTATTATGGTAGAGGAACGCAGATGGACTGCCTCTTGTGTTCAAGTTGGAGGTGATATGTGCGAAATGCGAAGGCGATAGAGAGACTGCCAGGGAGAGCCGTCGAAATTAAATTACAACGACAGTGCAAGTACAGTAACGAAGAAGGAAGAAAAACCAGTACTCGGATACACCGAGGAGCGAGGGTTGTGCTTGGATCGGTTGGTTGCGCGCTTGAAAAAAAATCAACAACACATTCCAATGGCCTGACCCGGGTTCAAACCAGGGTCTTCTGTTTATAACGACAACTTCAACAGATGCACTACTATCAGGTTGTCGACTGCGTATCGACAAACCATCTTTGACAATCGATCAGATTCAGATTTCCAGAGGTGAAGGCGATACGTTCTGATACTGCTCGGAATCCTGTGGTGAAGGGGTATGATACGTTCGTACAGGCACCGATGAAGATGAACATTTCCGGTGAGTTTCTTCAAAGGGGACACGTTTGTTGGACCAGATAATTTTCGCTAAAACCACATCATTTCATCGGCCCGAAAAGCCGAAAGCCGATTTCCAGTGCTGATGACTATCTTTGTCGTTTTCTCAGTTGCGGGCGGTGACGGTTTGAATGATTCTCGAGTGCTGTTGATGCTGTCGACGAGCTGTTCGATGATAATCTGACTCCCAGCGCAGACAACAGCCATTATTGGAGATCACGTAGCAGACAATAACTATCAATTCTCCCGAGGAACGAGTCAGCGCGATGCGCACCCGAGCAGGGGAGTTGGTGGGATCCGGGTAGCATGGAGGTAGAGGTAGTAGACAGAGACAGATTGCGCCAGGTACCTGGTAGATATACGTGGGCCCAGAGCCTCCCAGGGCACGGTTCGGATAAGACATTCAATTAATGAAGCGAATGTCAATAGATTCGGATTCTCCAAAGTTCATCCAAGAATTCATCGTGGAGAGTAATATCCAGCAGAGTCTCCTGGAATCTGGCTCTCGCTGGCCCGTGCGCACTGCGTGGTCTTCGGGGTTCGGGGATCGGAGGAGTGGGGATGGGGAAAAGCGATTCGAAGCTCAACGGAAGCTGATGTGATTGATCGCCGCATATTGCTTTCGCGTCTTCTTTAACCCTTTGTTAATTTATTATTCAATTTTTGAGCGGGTGGTCAAGGGCGGGTGATGACCGCCACAGGGGAAAAAAAACCCCTCTGTATGGTATGGAGAGAACAAAGGATTTCCGGGAATCGGTCTAAGTGCGCAGGATTGATTCCATCGAGGAAGGGCGCCTAGCCGTAAGTGGGAAGCTTAGATTCGAATCATGATGGTGAAGAATAATAATGCAGATGGGGCTAGGACAGCGCCGATGAGTGCTGGGTGCTGGGACGACGAGGGGGACGAGTTGTTACAAGGGTGAATACAAAGAGTACAAGAGCATAGAGCGCACAAAAGAGTGACTGTGACGTGACGTGACTGTTCAACAAGCATCAACAGGACCGCTGAAATCTGTATTCACCTTTCACGCGTCTTGCACTATGGCTTCATGGGTTCCTCAGCCACAGGGCCTCCAGGAGGTCCTCCAGACCCTCCACGAGTCAACAGACATGAACGTCGCTGTACAAAGAGCAATAACCCAGGTACACCTCCTTTGACCGACGCAAAGGGTCCAAGCTGACTCGGACACCCCACAGAAACTAAATAATTTCACGCGCGCACCAGAGTACATCGCATATCTGGCCTATATTCTCACTGCAATGACCCAGGAGGAGGACCGCATCCGCACCATTGCAGGCTATTTGCTCAAGAACAACGCACGCCTCATCTTGACAGCCTCTCCAGAGGTCGGCGCCTATGTCAAAGCGGCGGTCCTTCAAGCTTTCAACGACGAGTCTCTTATGATTCGCAATGCCGCTGGGCAGGACGTTGTGGCCTTTCTGGGCCAGCTCGAGCCCCGCAATTGGCCAGAGTGTCTCCAGCAGCTCATGAGCACTCTGGATTCCACCGATTTGGACCGCCAAGAGGTGTGTGGCGTGAACATGAATAATTGGTTTGTGTAATTAACCGTTGGTTTGCAGGCTGCCTTCAATGTCCTCGAAAAGGCCTGCGAGGACTACCCCAGAAAAATGGACGTCGAGATCAACGGCACTCGGCCCCTCGATTTCATGATCCCAAAGTTCCTCATGCTCGCCGACCACCCCTCCGCAAAGATGCGCTCCCATGCTATCGCCTGTCTATCGTACTTTGTCCCCGTCGGCTCCCAGTCCCTCTTTGTCCACCTCGACAACTTCATCGCCACCCTCTTCAAGCTCGCTTCGGACGACGACCCCTCCGTCCGTCGCCATGTCTGCCAGGCCCTCGTCCTCCTGCTCGCCGCCCGTCCCGAGAAGCTCATGCCCGAGATGGCTAATGTGGCGGAGTACATGCTCTATTCCACTAAGGACAAGAACGAGAACGTCGCCCTCGAGGCCTGCGAGTTCTGGCTCACCTTCGCCGAGGACGCAGACCTCGCCGTCCACCTCCACCCGCTCCTCGGCAAGGTCGCGCCCGTGCTCCTCGACTGCATGATCTACGGCGAGGACGACCTGCTGTGGCTCGAAGGCGACGCGGAGGACGCGGCCGTCCCGGACAAGGACACGGACATCAAGCCGCGCCACTACGGCGGCGGCAAGTCGCACGGGCTCGAGCGCGACGAGAACGGCAACGCCGTCGCGCAGCCGCCCAAGTCGCGCATCGGCGCGTACGGCGAGGAGACGATCGACTCGGACGAGGAGGACGACTATGATCTCGACGACGAGGACTTTGCGGACGAGATGTCGACGGAGTGGAATCTGCGCAAGTGCGCGGCGGCGGCGCTCGACGTGCTCGCGGTCCGCTTTGGCGGCGATCTGCTCAATGTGCTCCTCGGCCCGCTGAAGGAGAAGCTCTGGAGCAGTGATTGGCTCCAGAGGGAGAGCGGGATTTTGGCGTTGGGCGCCATGGCGGAAGGTTTGCGTTTTCTGGCTGTTGTGCTAGCTTTTATGAATGCGCGACTGACATGAGGTGTAGGATGCATCGAGGCGATCGAGCCTCATCTGACCACCCTTGTTCCGTATCTCATTAACACTCTCTCGGATCCCAAGGTAAGCATCTTGCTGTAAATAATCCCGTGCGGATATTAATTATGCGCATTACAGCCCCTCGTCCGCTCCATCACCTGCTGGACGCTCGGCCGCTATGCGAGCTGGACGACGCAGCCGATCTCGGAGGAGCACAAGAACCAGTACTTTGTGCCCACCATGGAGGGCGTGAGTCCATTTATTATATCATCGTAAAACCATTGACGACAGCGCCACCAGCTACTCCGCATGGTCCTCGACAACAACAAGCGCGTGCAAGAAGCCGGCTGCAGCGCTTTTGCTACGCTCGAAGAAGACGCCGGGCTCGAGCTCGCGCCGTACCTCGAGCCGGTGCTGCAGAACCTCGTCATCGCGTTCGACAAGTATCAGCACAAGAACATGCTCATTTTGTATGACGCCGTCGGCACGCTCGCGGATGCGGTCGGAAGGGCGCTGCAGAATCCGAGATATGTGGAGATTTTGATGCCGCCGTTGACGAATCGGTGGGCGCGGCTGAAGGACGATGATGAGGATTTGATCCCGCTGCTTGAGGTGTGTTCTCTTTCATTCTATTTCCTTTGGGTGTGTGCTGATGGATGATCCCCCGCACAGTGCCTCGCCTCGGTCACAATCGCGATCGGCGTCTCCTTCCTGCCCTACGCGCCGCCCGTCTTCGAGCGGTGCAACAACATCATTCACACCTCGCTGCTCAAATATCAGGCCTTCCAGCAGAACCCCGAGATGGAGGAGCCCGACAAGTCCTTCCTCGTCGTCGCGCTTGACCTGCTCTCCGGGCTCACGCAAGGCCTCGGCATGGAGCTGCAGCCGCTCATCAACGCGAGCAGCCCTAACCTCCTCGCGCTTTTGACGGTGTGTTTGAAGCACCCTCAGGCGCCGGTGCGCCAATCGGCGTACGCGCTGGTGGGCGATATGGCCATGGGTTGCTTTGTGCTGCTGCGCCCGCATATGCCGGGGATTATGGCGGAGCTGACGCTGCAGCTGGACCCGGAGCCGAAGTATGATTTTATTAGCGCGTCGAATAATGCGGCGTGGAGTGTGGGGGAGGTTGCGTTGAGATATGGACGGGGTGCGTACCACTTTCTTCTTCATCGAGGATGCCGGACTGATCTTTGACCCCAACAGACGACCCCGAATTCAAGCAGTGGGTGCAGCCTTTGATTGAGCGGCTGATCCCGATCCTGCTGCACCCCAAGGCGCCGCGTAGCCTGCACGAGAACGCGGCGGTGTCGATTGGGCGCATCGGGCTCACCCACCCGGACATTGTCGCGCCGCACCTGCCCGAGTTTGCGCAGGCTTGGTGCCAGGCGCTGTACGAGATCCGCGACAACGAGGAAAAGGACTCGGCGTTTAGAGGATTCTGCACGCTTGTGCAGGCGAACCCGCCGGGCATTGCGAAGGTGCGTCGCGTTGTGAGTATATATAATGAGTAAAGCTGACGCTCAACGCAGAGCCTGCTGTGGTTCTGCAACTCGATCGTGCGATGGAACCAGCCGTCGCCGGAGCTGAACGAGATGTTCCAGACGCTGCTCCAGGGCTTCAAGCAGCACGACCCCGCCGCGTGGTCTGCGCAGATTGCGCTTTTCCCGCAGCCCATCCAAGAGCGCCTCGCGACGCGCTACGGCGTCTAGATGAGACAAGATAGACTTTCGCCGGCCCCGCTCGTCCGACCCCCCGCCCCCACCAACGTGTACAACCAGCTTTCTTTTATTTACGTGCTCTCTGTGTCTTCCCTGCCCCACCCCGTTCTCCCGTTATCCATGTCTCTTGCATCTGGATCTTTTAGTAGTGTAGTATTTCTCGCCCCCGTTTTTACGTACGCTTTTCTCTCCTTGTTTTTACCGTTTACTGTTTACCGTTTACCGTTACGC